TTTTGTCGGTACCGGGGATTAAACTCAGGGCCTTGCACTTGCCAGGCAAGTGCTTATTCTACTGAGCTATCTCCCCAACCCATGTAAAATTTTTAATTGACTTAAAAAAATCCTTTTCATGTAAAATATTTGATCTAGTGTGAATTTTGAAATTGAGTACTTTTATAAATGTGATTTTAAACTGCACATGGTAGCACATACCTATAATCCTGGCACTTAGGAGACTTAGACAGGAGGATCATTTAGTTCAAGGCCATCTGAACTACATAACAAACCATCTCAATCAATATTTTTTTAAAAATAATAAACTGAAATTTTATCCTTTAAGTTAGGAAATTGCAGTCTTCTCTGTGTAGTAATATGCGACAGTGTATCCCATTTCAAGTTTGCATTTTAGGGAGATTATGTATTGCTATGTATCTAATGTATATGGAGAATTTTAAAAGCTCCACTCAAAACACTGATCCCATCATGCAGTGGAACAGTAATTACTATAATGGAAGCGGTGCAGAATTCCTGAGGTTGTAGTTATGGCTGAAACATTGCCATGGTTAAGTGTTTTGTCTTTAAAAAGATTTGAGCTTTAGCGTCCAGTCACTTTTGGTTTTCAAGTTAGAACTAGTTGTGTAGACGCTCTTCCTTGAAGCTACCAACACTGCTGCGTGCTGCAGGTAGGCACCCGCGCTGTGCAAGGGGGAGCGCCCCGCAGGGGCCCAGCACCTGGAGTGTCGCAGGCGCCTCTGCTTCCGTCCTGGCAGAGCGGCTGCGACAGCGCACGAGCGGTTTATTGACGTAAAGGCAAGGATGAGTACAGGTTCGTGAGCTGCTCTTGGACATTCTTGTTGTCCAGATGAAGTATAACAAGCACGCCTTAAGCCACAATAAATGTTGTGAAATAGCCTCTTATGTAATAGCCATTGATACTATTGACTTGATTTGTTAAATTTATCAAACTGAATATCATATTTAAATCTGTTAATAACCTATACCTTGTAGACTCTTCTTTTTTTTTTTTTTTGTTATTGTTTTTCCTAGTCCTGAAGATTAAGGTCGGGGCCTTACACACTCCAGTTAATCACTGTACCCCTAAAGCATATCCCTAGCCCAATATTTGCATCCTTTAAAAATACATCCTAGGGCTGGGGGATGTAGCATAGCACCTGCCTGGCAGGCTCAAGGTCCTGAGTTCAATTTCTGGTACCAAAAAAGAAACTAAAAATACATCCTGATACATGTTTTATTTACAAGCAGAAAAGAAATGTACTATAATTTAGAATTCAGGAACAGCTCTCTCCCTCATTTTTACATTGCAGTTATTTTTTATTTCAGAGTGATTTCTTACCAAACTCTACCAAGAAATATGCCAAGCCACAGAGCCCAGGTTGTGGCCCGCTACCCAGAAGGCTACCGAACTCTCCCCAGGAACAGCAAGACCAGGCCAGAAAGCATCTGCGGCCTGGCCCCTTCCAGCCACGACAAGGTGGGAGGGCCCACAGCAGAAGAGAAGCGGAGGTCCGTGAGGGATGACACCATGTGGCAGCTCTACGAGTGGCAGCAGCGACAGTTCTACAGCAAGCAGAGCACCCTCCCTCGACACAGCTCCCTGAGCAGCCCTAAAGGCACAGTTACCATCTCCGACCAGACGATGCACTCTATTCCCACGTCACCTTCCCATGGGTCCATTGCCGCCTACCAGGGGTACTCCCCGCAGCGGACGTACAGATCCGAGGTGACCTCACCCATCCAGAGAGGAGATGTGACCATAGACCGCAGGCACAGGGCTCACTACCCCAAGGTAAGGCGCAGGGTGTTCTTTCAGTTGTGGGTCAGACAAGAGAACAGGAAGGAAAGCAAGGCTACTATTTGTGTTTCAAAAATTAAGAGCTATGTAGTATAAAGTCTCATGTAGAAAGCCTCAATTTGAGCTGCTTCATCTCTGAGGAGCATAGAAATAGTTGCTTTGAGCACACGTGATATGCTGTCTTCTGCTTGGCAGCGTGTCTCCTCAGCTCTCCTTGGAGGCTAGGCCCACACAGATTGCCCCTTGCACGTTCCATGTGCCATTTCCTGGCTTATGTGCAGTCTTATATCAGGCCCATCCTGTTGTTTACTGGAAAGAAAATGCTAATTTCGTCTTCTAAACAGGTAGCTACAGGGCATATTGAGATCTCCATATGTACCCAACTCAGTATTAGAATCCAGCACTGCCTGATGAATATGAAGACATAAAAAAACAAAGACGCAGTCCAGAGCTCAGCCACTCAGGAGCCTAGAGCACCAGCTGCGTTCAGGAATTGAAGGCCAGCCCAGGAGGCGTGGCAGGATCTGGGGGACAAGGGTAACCAAGAGTCAAACTCGGGACCTTGCGCTTGCCAGGCGGGCACTTGTGCCCCGACGCAGGATTTCCAAAATTAAGACACAAGTAAAGGTCCTAGTTCATAGTGCCAGGGGTCAGTCCAGGATCTCACGTGCCAGGCTGAGTGACGCCGCACACGGAGCTGCGTCGTGCTTTCATTTGTACTTGATGTTAGTTGCTTAGTAGATTATTTGACTTGAGGGCTTTGTATTGGTCACCTTTGCAGAATAGTAAAGCAGTTGTTTTGTTCAGCAAGGTAATGTCATTTGTTTTTAATCATAAAGAATTTCTTGCTATAATTTTTATAATCTTTCAAATGTACCTTCTTCTTGACAAGATGAGTCCTTTACCTGCATTATTATGCAAAGCATTTGCCTGATAATTTTATAAATAAGCATTTGTTGAAGATCCATAAATCAGGAGTTTTCTTTAAAAAAAAAAAAAAAAGTTTTATTTTGCCTCACTGACAAAAACTTCACTTTGAACTCTATTGTAACCGGGTTCAGTATTTTATCACTTTATACATCCTAAGTTGTGATTGACAAAAGTAACAACAAAAAGAGTGACTATAGAACCAGGCATGGTTGTCCACCACTATAATCCCAGCACTCAGGAGGCTGAGGCAGGAGGATCATTGTGAGTCTGAGGCCAGCCTGAATTACAAAATAAAAATAACTTTATTAGAGCTAGAGAGATAGCTCAATGGAATAAGCACCTGACTGGCAAGTGCAAGGACCCAGGTTCGATGCCCAGTACCGCATGCTATGCCAGTCCCAAAACTGGGTGTGGTGGCTCATGCCTATAATCCCAGTGCTAGGGGAGGCTGAAACAGAAGAATCGCTTGAGTCTGAGCTGCTAGTGAGACCCTGTACCAAATAAATTTTTAAAAAATTTTTAATTTAAATAAAAATACCTATTGAATCTTAGCTTTTCGTTACATGCCAGGTTTTAATACTACATTTGATGAAATGTGAGTGTGTATAAAGCATTTCTCTTGCATACCAGAGTACCCTAGGTTGTCTCAGGAAACTGACAGTTTGAGTTGACACTGAACTAGCTCCTGTGAGGAATACCGTATCTACGGGGCTGGGGAGATGGCTCAGTAGAATAAGTGCTTCCCTGGCAAGCACAAGGCCCCGAGTTCAATACCCGGTTCCACCAAAAAGCCAAACAGAAACAACAACAAAAATACCGTATCTACTGGAAGGAACAAAAGACAGTGTGTTTATTAAGACTTGGTGTTTGACAGAATACTCTCTGAAAGTGAATGTAAGCCCATTGTCACTTTGAAGAAAACAGCTGGCACTAGCAACCCTTTTTGCTATCGTTGACCAAAACATGGCAACACTGGCAATGTTGCGTAACTCCCAAGACTGTCCAAATGGCCAGTGCTTCATGTGACTGAATCATGCGCAGGCAGGAGATTGAAGTGCACGTACACTAACGAGTGCCAGCAGCTCACTGCTGTGGATTCAGACGATCTCTTGCTGGAAGCATGTGAAGAAATTCTCCCTGCCAGGCATGGGGGCGCACGGCTCCAGGAGGATCACTGGGAAGCCGAAGCCAGCCTGGGCTTCATAGTGCCTTCAAGGCCAGCCTGAGCTACGCAGGGAGACGCTGTCCCCCACTCAGAGAAAAACAAAAAAAGAGAGAGATCATCACAATAAATTGAACCCAGAAGCAGATATGAGATTCCAGCAGTGATTGTGATCTATAAAACAAGCATAATCCTGTGATTGAATTTTCTTTTTAAGAATATAAAGTGGTCAGGGCCAGAACGCATGGGCCAGGGTTCAATCCCTGGCCTACTGTGCGGGCCCCACCCATGGGGCGCACTGAGACACAGAGGAGACTGGGTGTGGTGGCCCACCCTTGTAATCCCAGCGTTTGGGAGGCTGAAAACAGGAGAATCACTATGAGTCTGATCTACATAGTGAGATTCTGTAGACCTGTCCTAAATACAGAAAATAAATAAATAAATAAATAAATGGACCAGGGAGATAGCTCAGACGCATAAGTGACTGCCTGACAAACATAAGGTCCTGAGTTCAATCCCTGGTACTGCCAAAAAATAAAAAATAAGAATATAAAGTGGTCTTGAGACCAAAAAGTTTGAGAGTCACTGAGCCACACTGCATACATTACTCTGCTTAGCAGCATCTGTGCTTTCATCAAACAAGAAATGCTCGTGCTTTCTTTCATGAGCAATAGCATCCATCGTTCAGTGGTGTTGCGTACTGTGAATCTGGGATTTCTCATCACTGTACTGACAAAAGGGAGCAGAGCCATCTCACAGAACTGCATTGTGCTTTTGCCTCCTTAGCACGTCTATGTACCTGACAGAAGGTCTGTTCCCGCCAGCCTGAACTTGCAGTCTGTCAGTCCACAGAGCCTCCAAGGCAAAACGGTGAGTGTGGTGTCCTTCTTTGCCAGTCTGCTTAATTTGGCACCCACAAAGGCAAATGTCTGACCCAGCTTTTAGGTTTAATTGTTCCAGATGTCTCCGAAAGAAAAACCATTACAGCTTTGTGGAAGAGACTTCTTATCAGAAGAATTTGGATTCATGTTGCCCTTTTAGTGTCTTAGGAGATACTTTTCCTTAAATGTCTCACTCACTAAATAAAATATTTCACTTTAGAGCTGGGTGTGGTGATACATGCCTGTAATCTCAGCACTTAGGAGACTGAGGCAGGAGGATCACCATGAGTTTGAAGCCAGCCTAGGCTCCATAAGCAAGTTTAAAGCCAGCCTGAACTACATAGCTAGGCCCTGATATAAAACAAACAAACAAACAAAAATCTCATTTTAAAATTTACTGTGTAACTTAGTTGGGTTTCTTTAATTTGTAATGCTTAAAGCAGAAATTAAGCCAGGGAGATAGTTCAGTGGCACGATACCTGCCTGGCAGGTACCAGTCCTGAGTTTGATTTCCAGTACTGAAAGAACACCCAGAAATTAGATTAATGATATTACTGGAACAAATCCAGCAAGCAGCTATTTGTAAGTCAAACTACAGAAATACTAATGACTTTGTCTTGTGGATTTTTATATAAATTATCTACTGTAGAGCCAAAATAAACATATTTACATATTTGTACAGAGCAAGAAAGGCTACAAAGATCTTGTGTCAAGCTGGCTGTGGTGGCACACACCTGTAATCCCAGCACTTAGGAGACTGAGACAGGAGGATTGGCAAGAGTTCCAGGCCAGCCAGACATACAAAGTGAATTCAAGGCCAGCCTGGACTATACAGTGAGGCCATGTCTCAAAAAAAAAATCCTGGTTCAAAGTTTTTTTTCCATTTATCATTTTATCGTCACTGTTCTATTCAATTGGGATGAAATTTAATACCAGGACACTGCTGTATTTTGAGTCAAAAAGATGACTTCAGAATTCCAGTTTCTATTCATATCACTCTCTCATCAGAGGAGCTGATTGTTTTATTGACAGTCACAACTTCTGTGAAGATATGATTTGGGCACCATCAACTTGCTCGTTATTTAAAATTATCTTCCTGCAATAATCAAAACAGATTCAATTTGTATATATTTTATAACCATGGTCTGAGTTCACCTTTTGCATGTTTAGATGTAAGAAAATTGTTCCTGGCTTTAAACTACTTGCAGTTTTTGTATTAAAGATTATGGATACTGTTTGATTAAAACAGAAATTTTAACCATTGTAATTTATAAGCATTGGGTCATTGCTCTGCCAAACAGGAGTCTATACAGTAAATGCTCAGTACAGTATGAGGTTATTTTCTTTTCTGCCTTGCTCCCTCTAGTGGATATTCAGGATACAGTCTGTTTACTGCCTACTTTTCCTGCAGCCAGATGTGCATCTTTTTATTTGGCCTCAAAATTTAAATAGCAAAGTTACTGGTACCTTTCATCCTTTTGAAACTGTCTTTATCTTCTTACCTCCACATATAATGAACCAGAGTTTCAAGATGTCTTCTCTTGGTATCTCTGTCATCTAGAATGCTGGGTCTCCTAGTGTAACCCCGGCTACACCCCACCACGCCCCTAGCAGGACCTCAGGAGTGAGGCCTGACAGGCATGAGATGTGGCTGCCCTAGAATGAGATCACAGGATGATACTGGCCTCAGAGCAAAGAGGCTTTTTCTTTTTTCATTTGTGTAGTTTCTTCTTTAGTCACGTGCACACTAAACATCTTTTGAACGTTTCATATAAAAGACTATTGTATCACCACTATAGATAATGAGTTTTATGTAAGGAATCCAATAGTGGCTGTCATTTATTTTCACTGACACTTCTTGTCTGAGGGCAATAATTTTTAATGTGACTTCTAATAACAGTGAAAATGGTTTAAAGATTTGTATAGAAAATAAAGAGCACCAGCAACTTCACAGAAGAACACTGAATGCAAGCAGAGCAAAGAAGCCTCAGGAACAATCTTGACCTGGAATTTCAAGTAGTAAATGGTAGCTCTACAATCAGATTTCCATCACAACAAAGCTCAGAAAATCATCAAGTAATACTTTATGGGCTATCAGACTATCCATGTGTATACTCTACTGCATTTCTAACAAGCAAAAATATATCAGATTGGCCTGCTAAGGAATTTCATCCATGGCTGAAACTTTTTTTCTCCTTAGGGATCCTATGAACCAATCAGGAATCAAAAACTCTCTGCTTTTCCAGAATATGGAAAAAGGGTTATGCACCCTTAGAACCTCCCTTTTTTTCCTTACAGAATAAAATTACTATTTTGATCACTAAAATGCTGTGAAAGCATGGATGGTGAAATTATAAAATATAACCTGGAAGTAATTGATAGGGCCTGGTATTGAGTTTGATAATGTGCCACTATTCCAGTTGTGCATGAATTTTAATTCTTTTTAGTTGCCTTCTGTTATCTTAAAATAGTATGTTGGACCTATAAGTATTGTTCTATTGCTAGAGAAGTCTTAAGTAAAACTTTTTAATCATCTTGATGAAAATACTTTGTATGATAATCTTAGCAGCTTATCTGTGTAAACTATTATAATGGCATTGTGCTTTTTTAGACTTAACATTTGAATAATCTTTCATGAGTTCTAAGAAAATGACTTAATATGCTGTTGTTTTGCTGTAAAGTAACACTGTTCCTTCTATTTCTCTAGATATCTATGCATTTATGTAGGACCTATCATCATAGTGTCTAGGCACTATGTTTGATGTCAACCATAAGAGGAAACTTGCCAAGAAATCTTGGTTTAATATCTGTCACTTAAGACAACAATTAATCTGTTTTCCACTGTTTGGATTCTTAAATTGTACTCCTTCAGCCAGAGGAGCTTACGCTGCTGCTAATAAAGCTGAGACGGCAGCAGGCGGAACTGAGTAGTATCCGGGAGCATACGTTAGCACAGCTCATGCAGCTCAAACTTGAGGCCCACAGCCCAAAGGTCAGCTATGAAGACTTTTTGTCTGTGTCACACCATTGTCACTTATTTTGAGCCACTCATCAATCAGTATAATCAGTGCCATGTACCATCATGGAAGTGACAGCATTACGATCACCTATTGACCCTTTGAGAACTCAACTTGTGTGTTGCTTAAAAAAAAAATACACATAGGATGCATTTCTTTTTGCCTTCCACTCAGCCAGTCAATTTTTGGTCTTGAGTGCAGAAATCCACACGAATTTCAAAATAGTATTATTAAATTAATATGGTGACTGCCACATCTGTTAGAATAGATACAGAGAATTCCAACAGGTTCCAATAAAGTAATGTTGAAAATTCATTCCTAATGCCACCTTTTAAATGTCAGAAGGTAATTATAAGATAAGTCTTGTGTTCTTGATGAAAAATGAACACATGCAAACTTTTCTCAAAGGGTGTAATAGCCTCTGATCATGTGGGAAGCATCCTGAGAAGAGGATGGTCTCACAGAAAGGAAGTAGCATGGAGAGCTCTAATATTCCCTCTGCCAAAGCCATTTGAAGAATTTTTCTGCTTAATGGTTCCATCTATCTGTCTACTTAATTTCCTACAAAACTAAATATAGTTTCGTAACACTTGTCCTCCGTACCATTTACAGAGGAGCATGTGTGTGAAAGTTACTGTGTACTGTGATAAAATACTTTGTAGTAAGCTACTGTTTGTCTTATTTTAAAATTGACCTTTTTATGAATTCTGCACCCTGTTTCTCTGTCCTTTTTCCTTGATTGGTGCCTACTAGAATGAAATTCTTTCACATCATCTTCAAAGGAACACCATATATTTGGATCACCAGGTGGGAGTTGTAGAATTTTCTTACTATAATACTTAAAGAACTTCTCAAATGTAGCACAGGCTTTCAGGCTACCCAGATATTTTAGTCATTTAATTAGTAGCATACTTTCCACAAGCAGCTCACTAAGAAACCCCAAGCAAGGGAACCCAGGTATTCCACAATGAGCAGGAAGACTGGATAGTGGTGGCGGTCAGAAGGATCAAAACGCTGAGCGTCTTGGTTCTTGGTCCATCCTTCTCTTCACCCCACAGCAGATGCCTGCTCGTTGGGCCACTGTCAGCTGGCGGCCTAGGTGAAGGAGCAGACAGAGTGGGGCTTGGCTCGTCCTGGGAGGGGCAGTGTGCTGTGGCCCTAGAGGGCGGCACACAGAGGGCAGATGTCTCCAGTTGCCTGTCCTGGTTTCCTGTTTGTTGTCCCCTCCTCAGCTATGCCACCTGGTGCCCACTGTGGAGTTCCCTTGTGATGGCCAAGCATGGCTGCTGGGGGGGCGTCTCCATGTGAAGGCAGCAGTGAGCAGGGCCCGACAAGCGCAGGTCTTAGCTTATGGGAACACCGGGTTGATATGTAATGGATGTTCTTTGTTATTAATGCAGTTTCTTCTGTTAGTGCTTTTTTCATATAAGTTAAGTTAAACCTTATAGTAATTGCCCGGCCTTGAATATTTTATCAAATTAAAGGAGTTACTATGGAAACTGCTATAAAACAAACACTCGTTTATATTTGCCTATTTTGGAAACAAAGTAATAATGTATAGCTTTACAAATTAGTTCTGTTTAAAGAGGTGGTTTACACTAAGATAACCCTTGAAAGGTGTTAAGTCAGCCAGGTATGGTGGCAAAAGAGAGTAATCCCAGCTACTCAGACTGAGGCAGGAAAACCACAAGTACAGGGCCATCCTGGGCAACTTAGTGATACCCTGTCTGCAAAAAAAAAAAAAAAAAAAAGTGGCAGTGGATGTAGCTTAGCATTCCCAGGGCTCAACTCAAAAAATAAATAAGTACAAGGACAGGAAATAGTAAATCACTTTTTTATTTTCTTAATTTGCAATAAAAAGTTTTCATCATGATTGTGCCCGTTGGAATGCTTTAGAAGTCTGCATTTCATGTATCCCAGACTCAGTCCTGGGATGGATGCTATTTAAATTCAACTATTATATAATATTTACTTTAAAGCAGTCTAATAAGGACAAGTAGTGTAATTAATAGATAAATACCTGTGGATTTGCCATAATTTATTACCGACTGCAGTGAAGTCGCCAATGCAATTACAGAACTTAGCAGACCATGACGGACAGGTGAATGGAGTGGACACGGCACCCTGGGCCGGGCTGCCGCGCCCAGCCCTCCTCCGCTGAGGCTGTCTCCTGCCTCCCTGCTCCCGTTCAGTGCTCCATGCTGGGGGTCAGCATTGCTGTTCTCTGTTCGCCCCACACGTCAGCCAGACTTTCCTTACATTGCATCCTGAGGCAACTACAGTTTTTCTCTTATAAATATTATGACAGAATGATTACAAAATTGAATTGCTTACGATATCACGCATTAAAATAAGACTTTCTGGGAGCAAAAAATTGGACTATTTTTAGATAATTAAATAGTATAATATATGAAAACAAGGGAGAAGTTTTGCCCAAAAATCCAGATATATCTAACTGTATATAACCTTAGGTTACTGAAAGAAAATCCCCCTCTCTTTTAAAATTTATTTTCAGTCCTGGGGTTTGAACCCAGTACCTTCTCACCAAACTAAACTACATCTGAAGCCTTTTTTTTGGGGGGGTGGGGGGGAACAGGCTCTCAAAAGTTGCATAAGTTTACCTAACTTGTGATTCCCCCTGCCTCAGCCTCCCAGAGTGCTGGGATTACAGACATGAAAAAATCTCTCATTATATAGATATTCTAAAATGTTTATGGCTTCTGATAATTGCATTTAATAGAAAATAAAATTTACTTTAGAACTCTTTTTTATACCAGTTGCCATGCTATTAAGTTATATAAAAATAATTCTTGATAATTTTAACATTTACTGGAATATTTTATTTAAGGTAAGACATTTCCAGCTTTTAGTCTTGTTACTGCCAACAATCTATTTCAGATTACCAGGTCTTTTTTTTAAGGCATTATTGGTTGCCTGGATTTATAAATTGATTCATCAATTTTATATAACCACAGATTGAAGGTGGATTCTAAAATGTTGAAGAGGAAAAGGTTCTGGTTATATGTTATATATCACACCAAGTGAACATGCACTAATGAATTGCTGTCAGCAGTTACTCTCCTTACCCCAATAAATTACAATAATCTAAGACAACAGAACACAACCTTCCCACTATCCCATGTCACACACCACAGACATCCTAAGAAAGATGTTTGTTGATGTGCATTCTATTAATCTGTCACTGTTATGAGAACTAAACCAAAGGGCAGTCTCTGATTTGCTTCAAGAGGTAAATTAACTTTAAATAAGAATGAAAATGCCTGATTAGAAATATTTAATACATATTAAGTGCTCATTACATATAACGAGCCATATATAGTAAGTTGGTTTCTCAACATCAGCACCTACAGTCATATCTGCTAACTATATGGTAAAATTTGTTTTAGTACACTTTAGTGAACTATTCCAAGTCTATATTTATTAATGCTAGCCCAGGTTTTTCTCTTGTGCATTTTATGATCAAAAAGCCCCAAGTAGACTCTTGACTATGCAAGAAGCATAACTATACATTTATGTACCTCATTCAGGTTCTGTGTACAAGATAAGTTCACACATAATACATCAAGAACTTATTCTCTCTCATTCCCTTGAGTTGTCACTGAGTATCAGAGAAACTTTTGGTTATGGATAATGAAGCTTGCCAGCTTCATCCTAAAATACATCTGCTGAATGGATTTAATGTTTATTAGCGTTTCCGTGCTTATTATTCTGCCTAACAAAATAGAAAATGTCCCATAGCTCTGTACTTGTCAGGAAGTGGTGAGTTTTCAGACGTCGCTGCTGTCCTTTGAAAGTGCCATCTTGCTGGTGTTCATCTTATAAGGCAAAGAGAAAATCTTGAAAACCTTTTTCTTCTCAAAATGGAGCAAGTTGAAAGTGAATATAGAACTCTGTGGCCCTGCTGAGCAAGCATTTTAGGATTAGGAATTCTGAAGGATTCCAGAAGTCAAATAAGGCATTTTGTTTGAAATAACGGGTTTCCATAGGCGCTTACTGTGGCCAGACCATCTGATGATACTCAGTTGTAAGACCCAGAAAGAACATAAAATTATTTTGGCTCCTGTAATCTCTTGGTTGTTTTTAATAGCACTCTTGATCATCAGGAATCCCAAACCCCACCATAAAAGGCTCTATTTGAAGACAAGGCTGTATCATACAGCCTAGCCACATTGGGGAAAACATTGCACAAAAAAAATGTGTTCAGAGTGCCAGCCCTGGTTGGGAACGTACGTGTTTTCCTCAACAGAGACTTCAAGTTTCTCGGTGCTGGCATTTGTTAGGACTTCCCCCAGTGCCTAGCTCTTGGCTTCTGTAACCTGGACCTTGCTAGGACTCACTGGGCCAGGCAAAGGGATGAAGTTGGAGTTTTATATGCTAGACTGGGTGCTAAAGAGAGCAGCTAGACAGGGGAAGAGCTAGAGCTTTTTGATTAGTCATGAAAGGGTATCATTGGAATGAAGATGTGGCACCCAGTATGGTGGCACACACTGTAATTCCAGAACTTAGGAGGCTGAGGCAAGAGGATTGCCGAGAGTTCAAAGCCAGCCTGAGCTACATAGTGAGGCCATGTCTCAAAAAAAAGAACATTTTCCTGTCCCTCTGTATTTCTCTTCCCCGTGTTCTTCCTGCTGTTTGTTTCCTTCTCTTTTCCTCCTTGCTTTCCTTGTTAATGTTTGGAGAGCAGTCAGGAAACACTCGGGAGTTTGGGGCTTCTCTTTTTCCCTCACAGCTCTACTAGCTGTCGGGAGGCAGTGGTAGCAGAAGGTGCAGCACTCGGAACTGTGACTGCCAAGGAGGCAGAGAAGCCGGGGCCCAGAGACTCTGAGCTGTGCCTCACATGCCTTTGGTGAGCATGCGGCCCCACCCAGCTCTCCCTGAATTAGAGTGCTGACACCAGTGGCTGCCTGCCAGCTGTCACCGAAACACAGTAAGTTTTCCCCGACAGAGCAGCTTGCAGTAATACAACTGCAGCACCCCAGCGCAAGCATAGCTCTGTGTTCCTTGTTGCACAAAACTAAGGTTATGATGAGTCAATAGCTAAATCCTTCTATCATATTTTCAGTGTACATTTTTTAAAGAAAGTAAATAATCTAATGCTTTGGGAAAGGGTAAGGAAATCATTTTTATTTCATACTATTCCTAACACATTTTGAATAAGCTATGCTTTCTAATTTTCAAGTATTGTATAGTCATATTTAAATATTATGATACAATTTTTTTTATAAACACCACTACTCTATGAGCTGTACTGTAAATGTCCTGGTGACTTTTGAACACAGTCAGCTATTGTGTCGTAGGTTCCTGGGAACTTTTCCTCATCAGTATGTTTTCTGTATCTTCAAGAAATAGCTGTGGGGAAAATCTATACAGACAGGAACTCCGACCACTTTTAAACATACTTATGCCAAGGCAAATGCAAGAAAGACACTATTAACTGGTCCTATGTAATTGGTACTGAAACTATTCAAGTGTTGTTCTTTGTGTTCGTGAAGGACAGCTTCTCTGTAAAAATGAGACACTACCAGATGACTGGAAAGATGCGTGACACCATTCACTGTTCCTGACAGCTCGGCAGCTTCATTCTTTTGAGCTGTTAGGCAAGACCCCATTTTCCCTAATAGTTCAAGGAGTCCTGGAGCTTCTCTTTCTGGGGATGATTGAGAACTAGAAGAGGTAATGGTTGTGAGGAACATAGAACAGATATTTGTTTTTGTTTTTCCATTATATAGATTTATTTAAATAATCTCTTATTTTTGAATACTTTTGCTGCAGATGGATAAGGTTTT